ATGGATTCTTGACTCGGGTGCCTCACATACCGTCACTCATGATGCTTCAGATCTTATTACCTCAGAAATTCCAGAAAAAAACTTCATACAAAGTGCAAATGGCATGTTGTCAAAAGTGGAAAATGCTAGAAAAATTAAATTCAATCCTAAAATGGAATTGGAGCATTGTCTTTATGTCCCCTCACTCTCGCATAAACATAAAACTTTTATCAGTCAGTCATATTACTAAAGAACTTGAATTGTGTGGTTCTCATGTATCCTCAATTTTGTCTTTTGCAGGACCATTCAATTTTACCGGGGAAAAAGGAGAATCATTCGGGGCGTGGTAACTGAGTTTGACGGACTGTATCTATGTCGATGAACGTTGGTAAAAAAGGGGGTTGTATTTACTTGCTCATTGCGAAACTGAGGATAGACAAATTTGGCTATGGCGCAAGAAGTTGGACATCCTCGGCAAGGTTATTTTACGGTTCTTATTTCCTACTTTGTTTTAAAAATAGGAACTCTTGTTTGAATTTGTTGAGACTTTGCATACTTGCGAAAAGTCACCTGTTCATTCCTTTAAACAATACTAGACTTGATAAAGCACTTTAGTTTAGATTCACTCTTGGATGTTTGGGGTCCTGCTCCATCTCTACTGTGTTTTTCAACTATTTTGTGTTATTTTGTGATGATTTTTCTCGGCATCGCACGTGGTGTATTTTTAAAGCATACAATCTGACCGGTTTGAAAAATCTTTGTTGCATTCATTCACACCATGATTCAACTCAATTCCTACCCGAACAAATTAAATTTCTCCAGTTCTGACTAATGGCAACTGAATATGTCAACGGAGCCATTGAACAACACTTCCTTCTGACAATGGCACTGAATATGTCAACGGAGCCATGAAAAACTTCTTCCTTGAAAATGGTCTAATCCACCAAACTACATGTCCCTATACACCACAACAAAATGGTGTTGCTGAACGTCGGAATAGAACCCTTCTGGATATGACACGAGCAATGCTTATCGAGTCCCGTGTTCCGAAATTTTTTTGGCCAGAAGCCCTTGCTACTTCCGCCTACCTTCTGAACCAGTTACCCATAAAGATTTTGGATCATAAAACACCCTTACAAGTCCTTGGTAGTCAAGTAGACGTTCCCCAAGCTTTATCTTTGCCTCCACGGATTTTTGGGTGCTCTGTTTTCGTTCACATTCCAAAAGGGGATAGAGCTAAACTAGACCCTTGTGCAATCAAATGTGTTTTTATGGGATATGCACTTCATCAGAAGGGGTACAGGTGTTATAGTCCTAGTACACGCAAGACCTATGTGACTATGGACTGTAACTTTGTCGAGACTGAATATTACTATATTGCCCATTCTAGTGGTCAGGAGGAGAACAATAGTGATCCACTAGCATGGTTGAACAATAGTGCTATCTTAGACAGTGCTATTCCAGAATCAACTAAGCTTGCAAATGAATCTATCAGACAAGAATCAGAAGGTGACACACACTCAGTACCACAAGAAGTGCCATCTTTACCCAATGTCTCTCCTTCTGAAGATGTCCAACTAGAGGTAAGTGAGGAATCACACTCCTTTAGTAATAATGATTTGATTGATACTAACTCTGAACAGGAGATCCAAGAAGAAAGATACCATCTGCCTCCAAGAAGTGGTACTCCGTGGGATTCACCAAGAAGGTACTTCCTAGATAAGAGTTTACTAGCAGCGTTTTAGATACCCCTTGGAACATCTAGTAGGCGGTAGACCAGACCAGTGAAGCTGTAAAAACTTTCTCGCTTACCATTCATGAGGTAATTTCGAGATCAGTAGAGGAGGCAAAGCAAAAAAAGGAATGGTGGGAAGCAATGAAAGAAGAAATGAAAGCTCTGGAAAAAAAATGGAACATGGGTAACATGTGAACTACCAAATGGGAAGAAACCTGTAGGGTGCAGATGGGTGTTTACTATTAAGCATAAGGCTGATGGGACAGTTGAAAGATACAAGGCCAGACTGGTTGCAAAAGGCTACACTCAAACCTATGGCATAGAGTTGCAAAAGGCTACACTCAAACCTATGGCATAGATTACTCAGAAACCTTTTCTCCAGTTGCAAAGATAGACACAATTCGGGTTCTTTTTTCCATTACTACAAACAAAAGATGGCCTATGCACCAGTTTGATGTGAAAAATGCATTCCTACATGGGGATTTGAAGGAAGAGGTATATATGGAAATTCCCCCAGGCTTTTCTAAAAACTTTAAAGGAAACGAAGTTTGCCGACTTCAAAAGGCACTATATGGATTAAAACAATCTCCACAGGCATGGTTTGGAAGGTTCACTGAAGCAATGAAAAGATATGGCTATCGGCAGTGGCTATCCGGCAGAGTAATTTTCTGATCACACCTTTGTTTTTTGTTAAAAGAAACAGAGAGGAACTAATCACATGCCTGATATCTATGTGGGATGATACTGATCATCACAGGTAGTGACAAACGGAAGAAATAACAAATGCTTTCCGAGATAATCTGTTTTGCTGCATTTGAAATGAAAGATTTGGGGAGTCCTTAAAATATTTCCCTTGGAATTGAAAGCTCCCTAAGATCAAAGATTGGGGAAATTTTCATTTTCTCAAAAAGGAATATGTCTTAGATCTTCTTGCTGAACAAAGATGATTGACCTGCAAACCAAATTGACACTCCTATACAAGTTAATCATGGCCTTTGGCCTTGTGTTGAAGGAAGGAGGAGAGCCTGCCGACAAAGAACTGTATCAGCGGCTAGTTGGGAAATTAATTTACTTATCTCATACTAGACCAGATATAGCATATGCAGTCGGGGTGGTTAGCCAGTTTATGCAATCTCCACAGAAGGAGCACATGGAAGCTGTGATAAGGATTGTGAGGTATCTCAAGGGAACTCCTGGACATGGAATCTTGTTCAGAGACAATGAACACTTGGAAATAGAAGCTTACACTGATGCTGATTGGGCAGGAAATCCAAATGATAGAAAATCCACTTCTGGTTACTTCACTCTGGTTGGTGTCATCTGGTTTGGTGGAATCTGGTAGTTGGGTAGCACAGAACAATAAGGTGGTTGCTCCTTTTCAAGTGCTGAAGCTGAGTGTTCAGAGGAATTGGGCCAGAGGAGTAAAAGAGGTTATTATGGCTAAAAAAATTCTTGATGAATGGGGTTTTCCACCGCTCAAGGCCCACCAGCAAACTAAAAGTTGGTGATAACAAAGGCCAAGCCATCAGCATTTCTGGAAATTCCCTGTCCAACATGAACAGGACAGAAGCATGTAGAAGTTGAATGACACTTCATCAAGGAGAAACTTGAAGAGGTATCATCGAGCTTCCCATTTTTGTGAGGTCCCTGAACACCAAGTTAGCCGACTTTTGACCGAAGGGAGTTTAACAACTCAATCTTTTCAATGAAGTATTGGGCCAAGTTGAACATTGGGAAATCCCGCCTGATCAATTGAGGGGGAGTGGATACAAAATATGGAAGTCAAATACATAATTTAGGAGAATTAAGCCCATAAAATCAAATTAGAAGCAGAAAATTTTGACTTTCCTAAACTTGATACATGTATACAGTTTATAATTATAACATTACAAGAAGAATGAATAATTTAAGAAATTCTATTCCTCCTAATTATCTTTCATTTCCTATCTTCTATCACCTAAAAAGTGATATTTTATCTGTTCAATGGAGTGTAGTGGTTCAACAAGAAATGGGCAGACATATCCTCAGTTACAAATACCAATAATTTAGGAGAAAATTAAGCATAAAATCAATAGAGCAGAATATTTTGACTTTCCTAAACTGATACATGTATACAGTATAAATTTAACATTACAGAAGAATGAATAATAAGAAATTCTATTCCTCTAAATTATCTTTCTTTCTATCTTCTATCACCTAAAAAGTGATATTTTATCTGTTCAATGGAGGGTGGTTCAAAGAATGGCGAGACATATCCTCAGTTACTGGATTTGTTTCCAAGAGAAAGAGAATGGCTTATTAAAAGAGCTGATGAAAGATCTATAGAGGAGAAGAAGCTTGAGCTAAGGCTTGGTCCACCTGGTGAAGAAGTATGGTCTCTTGGAAAGACATAAAAACTCAAATGATAGAGAAAGGGACGAGATTCTTCTCTCTCTTGGAAACCAACAAACCCATAAGTTCTCTTCACCTGAAAACACTCAAGCAGATTCTATGTGGTTTAATCAACAACTATAGCAACAGACGAAGACTGCTACTCCATTTCTCCAGTTTCCATTTATCCAATAATGGCAGTAAAAGTGACACCCATTAGAGTACTTAAAGTGGTGCTTCTATGATGAAAGAAAGATCATGTGGACTGCGTCAAAACGGAAAAGTAAAAAATAAATTAAGTAAAGAAATAATTTTTAATTATAACACCTCAATGTCGAGATCGGAGGAAGAAATGGAGGGGTTGGTCGGAGAAGACAATGGATTTTGGGGGAAAAAAATGAGGTAGCGAAAAGGTACCGTTGTGACACCATGGGTTAAGTTAACCTAACATGGTTCTTTGTGACCCACTTTAATAGTTTTTTATTCCAAACCCTGTCAGGACTTGAATTTAAGGTGATAATAATACAAATTTTTTAATTTGGGGTGTCAGGGGGATGAAAGTTAATTTAAGGTGTTTCTATAACAACTCGCATAAATCATGATTTTTTTTTTAAATTAAGCCATTCTCAATACATTGTTCAACTTTTATTCTTATCAATAATATTATGGATTTTTCCTTTAAAACAAATGTAATGATCATACATAAACTTTATCATGTAATACTATATTTCATTATATTATGACATAAATTTAAAATTATATTTAAAAAATACAACTTATGATAATTGACGCACTCATGACTTCTATGCCGGTATATAGATAATAGAGATTTCACACTTATTCTTGACAGATGGAAAGACGATGATACCCTCCACAACACTTTGATACCATGAATCGCCTGAAGGATACTTTAGTCATAATACCAACCTCTCGCTCTCTCAATCTGAAATCGGCGGGAAAAAAAGAGGAAGAAAACCCCCTCAAATCTAGTCTCATCCCCTCCCAAATCCTCCAGACATCTTTCTCCATTATTGGTAATGATTAACGTACTGAACGTGGCGGAGAAGCCTTCGGTGGCGAAATCTGTGGCGACTATACTCTCAAGGAACCAACAGCATGGACTGAGAGTAAGAGAGGGGCGGTCCCGCTATAACAAAATCTTCGAGTTTACTTACGTGATTAATGGGCAGCCATGCCACATGCTTATGACCTCCGTCACGGGTCACCTGATGGAGCTCGAATTCGAAGACCGCTTCCGCAAGTGGCATTCTTGTGATCCTGCCGATTTATTCTCCGCCCCCGTCCGTAAATTCGTCCCTGAGGTTTCTCTCTCCTCCCTATATTTATTTACTTCAAAAGCGTCTGTCGAATGGTGGCTCCGCCAAGAATAATATCGAAAAGATAAAATTTATATACCCTGAATTTTTACAACCTAACATACAAAACCATGCAGTTATGGAAATGTTATGGAACTGTATCAATGTAGTCCATTTAATTTCCCCTTGATTCCTTTTCCTTAGAAAAGCAAAATCATGCTAAAGATGATTTTTGCAGAATAGGCCTGATAAGGATTTATGTCTTGATTGGTGTATTATGTGTTGTGAGGATGGGGTTGGGCAATATGGAATCACCGTTTTAGGTTTTTTTTGAGGAGGAATGGGTTGTACAGAAGCTCTGGAGACTTTTCAGTGGTCTAAAATGGAGAGGTTTTGGTGGAAGAGACGTGCCAATTTTCTTTGGTGGAGCAGATTTTTTTATCTTAAATCAAAATATGATATCCCTTTAGTTTATTGTCGGACATGAGGGTGCTTTAGGAGTTTTTAGAGGGGTCTATTTAAACCTTTTCCAATTCAATTGGAGGACAGTACTTTTTTGTCTTTTTTTGGAGTTATGTTAGAGTTTTTTCGTTTCTTATAAACAAGGTTAAAGTGAAAAAATATTGGATTCTGATTTGTTAATTTGTAAATTAAAACCTGTTAGTTTAATGGATATGATTAGATTTGAAGATATAGTTAGTGAATTGGATTGTGTTATAACTTAATTTGGCTTAATTTATGTCTACGCCTTAGATGTAACTAAATCAAAGTATAAAACAATGCAAATAACCTAACACTTATAAATATCTGAAGGTTTAGTAACAAACATGACTTATGATTTATTGTCCTCCAATATATGATTTTATTTTAATCTACAAAAGAAAAGAGTTCAATTTTTATATTGTTTTGAGCATTCAAATACCAGTGTTCTATTTTTGGCATACCATGGGATGAAATTGTCCAGAATCTTAGTTGACATTCGATGCATATATGACTTGAGATAGGATGCACTGTGAAAAGAATCTGTGGAGTTGGCCCCATCTATTTTGTTTGGAATTGTGTGAGGTATTATTTTACAAATTTTATTGAACCAAAATATTGCAGCCATTTTTATGAATCTGAATAAATTCATAGTGTCCTTGTAACCACCGTAGCATCTTGAACCACTGATATAAGGCTGCCACCACTACACCATGCCTTGTGGTTACCATTGCTGCAGCCACCATCACCATTGTGATTGCAATTATGTAGTCAACACTGTTGCTTTTCCTACCACCACCATGACAGCCACATGACTACAAAATCTGCTATCATGGTGTTTTTACGTCTTATGAACCAACCACTGCTGCTGGTATGCTGCCAGCATTTGTTGTCTAATTTTTCCATCATAATCAGTGTCACCTCAATATCGTATCCTTTTTATCAGCACTGCTACTCTTATAGTAACATGGTCATATCCATGTCCACTACCAGGTTTACAATAATTTACAATACTATCTTTTTGGATAGTTTTGCTACAGTAATCTCTAGCATTGCGTCATAATTATTTTTTAAACTGTTGGCATTATCATACAATAATGGAAATTATAAATCATATCATTATGTGGCCTAAATTATGAGATTTTAAAATCTCATAATTTCATTGGTTAGTAAAGCTGAAAGCTTTAAATCCCATCATTTTATTAGTTAATAAAACCAAAAGCTTCTACATCCCAATTTCTCTGAAATGTGGGTGATACATTTCTTCCATTTGGGTGTTTGTTCAAAGGAAAGCAATGTTGATGCATCTCTATTATTGGCGTGTATAATTTGCTGAACTATTTCCTTATTGATTTTTGGTTAGGACAAGATAGATATCAAAAGGACATTGGAGGAGGAAGCTAGAAGGTGCCAGTGGCTTATTTTGTGGCTTGATTGTGATAGAGAGGGAGAAAACATTGCATTTGAAGTGATGGAGGTCTGTAGAGCAGCGAATCGCTACCTCACCGTACGGAGGGCTCGCTTTTCTGCATTAATTGACAGGTTTTCAAGTCTAAAGTTTCTTTTCATTTTCCTTATTTATTGCCATGCTTAGTACATTATTTTCTGATGTTTGGTTTAGCAAATACCAGGGAAATCCATGAGGCGGTCCAAAATCTCGTTTCTCCCAACCAGTGCTTTTCTGATGCTGTGGATGCTAGGCAAGTAAGTAGTTTTCTCATTCATTCAGATGTTTTCCAATTTTCTTATAGTCAATATGAAGTTAGCTTTTACTACTCCCTATATAGCTTAGTACTAGCTCAATGTGTAATAAAGTCATTGGCATTTATGTGTTAGCTAAAGTCTCGTTATAAATTCACTTTGTCAGAGAAAGCAGAGCTACTGACATTAACTGTATATCAACATTCTTTTTTCGTCTTTGCTTTTGGGTTTCATTCTCCGACAGGGAATAAAACTGAAGTCTTAATATTTTGCAGGAAATTGATCTCCGTATTGGTGCTTCTTTCACTAGGTTTCAAACCATGCTATTGAGAGATAAATTTGATATTGATGCTGCTCAAGATGACAGAAATCTTGTTCTAAGTTATGGTCCTTGTCAGGTATGAATCTAGTTGACTACTTATGAAAATGTATGTAAATGTGTCTTCTTTAAGTTTGAAACCAGGACTTAGAATTTGTTATTCTGGTTGCTTTATGTTTACAGTTCCCTACACTTGGCTTTATAGTGGAACGTTATTGGGAGATACAGTCACATGAACCAGAAGAGTTTTGGACTCTTAACTGTTCTCACAAATCAGATGAAGGCATTGCTACCTTCAATTGGATGTAAACTGTGAAGGCTTCGTGCATTGTATTTCCTTCTTGAGTTATATAAGTTGTATGTTAAACATTTACTTGTATTAGTTTTGCAGGCGGGGACATCTCTTTGACTATACTTCTGCTGTTGTACTGTACGAAATGTGTGTTCAGGAGCCAACTGCGACTGTATGTAATGGAAATCATGTGCTTGATATATTTGTTGCTTTAAAGAACAAGATTTGGTTAAGGTTGAATCTTTTACATTTGTAATTCATAATCAGGTAACAAAGGTTCAACAACAGGAGAAGAATAAGTATCCTCCATATCCTTTGAGTACCATTGAGCTTGAAAAACGAGCTTCACGATATTTCCGGATGAGTTCTGAACACACCATGAAGGTAAAAGTTGGATTATAATACCTTTTTGTTATGAATGCATGCACTTCATTTACTTCATTAATTGTTTACACTTATTGGCATCTCCCATAGAATGTTATGATTCTTTCAAAAAATGTATCCTTCCACTTATTATGAAGTTAACCAAGTGTTGACACAGAAGAGTGAGTTCATAATAGATAATTCACTTCAATGCTTTATGTGTTTCAAAATCATCTATTAGTCTTCACTTTCCTTTTTGAAAAGAAAAAATCCAGACTGCATTAGATTCTATATTTTAAATTGCAGTACCACCTTCACCTCCACTCAAATTTACTTTTCAATTCTTTCCATCTGATTCATCACATGTAGTCCTTTCCCATGGAATTGGATATCTAACATATCTTATGCTTTTGGAATCTTTTTATTTGCATTCACATGATTTTACGGATTTGATTTTTGAGAATCTCTAGCGCTCCTTACCTTTTCTTTTATTGTTTATAGGTGGCTGAAGATCTATACCAAGCAGGTTTCATTAGTTATCCTCGTACAGAGACAGATTGCTTTTCTAGCAGGACTGATTTGCAAGTTGGTAACTCTGTTTTTTGTTTTTGTTAGCACATCTTTGGCTATTGTGATGATTCGTTCTTATATTATTATAGCTGAAATGAATTAAATGTTGGAGAAACAAAATTAAAGAGGAAGAAACTGTAGAAATTAAAGGAAAGAATATGTTTTATTTCTTACAATTGTGTTATATTTTTCAACCTCTACTCCACTATATATATACAAAAAATTGTTCCAATATAGGAAGTAATCTAAATAGGAATAAACCTAAGATTCGTTCTTAATATTATAAATAGCTGAAATGAATTAAATGTTGGAGAAACAAAATTAAAGAGGGAAGAAACCTGTTAAGAAATAAAGGAGAAGAATATGTTTATTTCTTTACAATTGTGTTATATTTTTCAACCTCTACTCCACTATATATACTACAAAAAATTTGTTCCAATATAGGAAGCTAATCTAAATAGGAATAAACTAAACTAAAGACAACACAATCTTTTACACTAAGTTAAGGAAATAAACCCCTTGAAACTAGGTGTTGAGAGAATATAATTGTAATTGGAGTTATTGTCTTTCTATCTCATAATCGATTACATAGGTCTAATATAATAAGGAATTTCTATGCTCTAGCTATTGTAGGAAATACAAAATATAAACTAATTAAAGGATCTACTCCTAATAAATCTATTTATCGATAATCCCTTAACACTCCCCCCTCAAGTTGAGCATAGATGTTAATAATGCTCATAATGCTCAACTTGTTACAAACTACTACTTTCACAAATCACAAATACAATACTCAGCAACTGTACCCACTCATTATAGCAATATAGAATCCCAAACCAAATAGTAAGCAGCAGAATCTAAGAACAACACACTTAGGTTTTAGGTTGTCGAAACAAATCTCACTGAACCATAAAACAACTCATAGGGCTGTTTCAAGCTTCCATAATCAATGCCTCAAAGAGGAAGCCCAGTAAAACGCAGCAAAGGACATCTAGCAAACGGAGCACACCACTAAAGGCCAAGAACACAATGCAACTCACTGGGGTTGCACTGCTCTTGACAAAGGAGAAAGTTCAAAAGCAGAATACCCGTAACTGCAGCAAAGGTGTAGTACTAAACCCTAATGCAAAAAGGAATCACTAGAAAATCTCCAAAAATTACCTAAACCAATTGTCACAGCAAAGGAAAAATATGTTTCCTCAGCGAATTAAAGCAACAACAGTAGCAGAGGACTGCCCGACACAGCTGCAACAGAATCACAGCAAACAAACCTATTGAATAAGCCCAAGAATGATGATGCAAAACCTATTGAATAAGCCCAAGAATGATGATGCAACTCATTGGGTTGCACGTCTCTCTTCAAGCCAACGTCGGCAACCAAGCAGCAGCCTCTGGTCCGTTTTGCTTGCGCTATTTGCGACCAACGCGAGCGGGTGGTGCTGCTGGCTCGAATTTCTTATCTTTCTTGTCGCCTCCATCGGATTTTCGTTGTCCGGGAAGGCCTTGCTGATTGCCAGATTGTCCTTGACCCATGGCTTGATTTTGTGCGAGACAAAGATTTGAGCTTGGCCTTTTTTGTTTTTTTTTTGAATGGAAGGCTCTGATACCATGTTGAGAGAATATATTGTAATTGTATGTCTTCTATCTCATCAATCGATTACATAGGTCTATATATATCTTATATATAAGGAATCTTCTTATGCTACCTAGCTATTTAAGGAATAAACAATCAATAAACTCAATTAGGAAACTCTAACTCCTAATAGAAACTCTAATTTACGACTAAATCCTTAACACTAGAAACACAATCCTTTATACTAATTAGGAATAAACCTAAACTGGAACACAATATTTACTTTTAATCACAAAGATTTCACAGAAACAAATGCATTAAGAACAATTAGACTTTGTGAATGCAAAATTGTGAAGGGATAAGTTGTGACTAGGACACAGATCTCATATAATCATTCCGCATCATTTGTTACCAGAAATTTGTTTAACTAACTGGACTGGGCCTAGAGATGCCCTTGCCCAAATTGGCATTAAAACTCTATTTACGACTAATCCTTAACACTAGGAAACACAATCTTTATACTAATTAGGAATAAACCTAAACTAGGAAACACAATATTTACTTTAATCACAAAGATTTCAACAGAAACAAATGCATTAAAGAACATTAACTTTGTGATGCAAAATTGTGAAAGGAAATTGTGACAGGACAAGATTATATATCCATAATTTCAGATGTATATGGATGTGTTATCGCATATTGGTTTGGGATAAGGTCTTTAGTCAACATATAAGACCTGCGTAATCCTCTTCCCCTTGAACTAGCTTTTGGGGAGTGCATTAGGCCCAGTTCATTTTATTAACATGGTATCAAAGCCTAACCTGCTTCAATGTTGAGCCACCTATAGTTGTGTTTTGTCAGCGAACTTCACGCTCCAAACTGAATTTTTTTTTTATTAGTCGAACAATGGAAGCTCCTTAGATTCATTTCAAAGGCCGACACTTAGGGAGAAGGTGGACACCAGTGATCTAAAGCATCTTGCTCAACCTCACTCCTATCAAGTGACATCAAGCGGATTCAACCAAATTCCCAAGTTGTCACATTAAATTTGCTGCCAATGATGCCACAAAGGATTGGCAATCTCAATTTTAAAATAACTCTACCGGTCATTTGGATTGATGGAAGTTAAACATTCCATGGATATGCTAGATTCCTTTGTTTGGTTGAGAAAAATAGGCCATAATTTATGGAATTAATTAATTCCATCACAACACCAATTCCACCAGTTTGAAGAGATAGAAATCCCACATCTGGGATGGAATTCCTCAATCCATCATTTCTATTATTAGAATATATTGTAATTAAGGTTAGAATATCTTGTACATATTCTATAATTATAGCTGTCATTGTGATTAGGATTTGTAAAGTTGACTTATCATACTTATTTCGTTCTTTGTTCTATTTAAACCAAATATGCTTAAGGGAATAATCAAGCAAAAGCTTCAAACCTTCCCTGAATTCTTCATGGTATCATAAACAAGCTGATTTCTTCTTCTCCATTGTTCTTTTTCTGTTTCAGATATAGCCTCTTCTGCCAAAACATAAAACCCTTAACCCTACCCCTTTCCTGTTCTTGCCACCTATCCTAGAAGATTACCTCAGTCATTAATTTTCATCGTCGAAAACCTTGTCGTTGACATCCACGCGCTGCCACTAGTTTCTGCCGGCCAGTACATGCACTGGTGCATGAGCCCACTTTCCGTTGACTACTCCGACAACGAACACCACTCGCAGTTCGCCTGAGTTCGGCGGTCCTTTTTCCGGTTACACCTTTCACTGGGTCCTTCTCTTTCTTCTACCAAGGTACAAACAGCCCCTTCTTTCTTCTAAAAAAAGCGTTCTTTCTTTATCCTTATTCAGTATCACAATGACTGGAACTACTGAACCCTCATCATTCACTATGTTTAAACCTCTTTTCTCCAGTACCCCTACTATTACCATTGTTATATTATCCGGCTGCAATAACTATATTTCATGTGTTTTTTCAGTAGAATTATTGTTTATGGGGCAGGGATATGATGATCATTTAGGTAAAATACTGTTGATATTGTTGCCACAGATAAGCCAACATGGTCTAAGATTGATGCACTATTGTGTAGTTTGTTGTGGCAATCTCTTGATTCCGAACTACTTCCTTTATTTCAATCTTGCAAAATTGCAAAACTTGTTGTAAGGTCTAGACTAAAGCCAAGATGTTGTATACAAATGACATACAACGAATATATAAAGTTGTCTCCAATATTGTCCATTTGCAGCAAAATCAACAAGATATGACTAGTTATCTTGGACAAGTTGAAACATTACTTGATGAATGGACAAGTTGAAACATTACTTGATGAATTTAATTCTGTTATGCCTTTCCCAGAGTGTTATTGCACAAGAGTAACAGAGAAATAAATTCTTTATGGTCTTGGCAATTATAGGTCTTCGACTTGGTCTTAGTTCTTTTTGAAATCAAATACTGCCAGGTTCTACTATTCCTACTCTAAAGATATTTTTGCTCAACTTCTTCGCATTTCTATGAGTCTAGCTTCATCTCCTAATATTGAAGCATATGTGTTTGCTATGTAGAATGGTAGTCGGAAATGGAAAGGTAATAAACCTAAACACTGTACTCATTGTGATAAACTTGGTTATACTTGGGAGATCTGTTGGCCATTGCATGGTAAACCACCGCTACATCAATCTGCTAGTACTAGACGATTAGTTGCTCATATGGTTCAGAGTAATGGAGCTGGAATTCTTCCTTCACCCGGTGCATCAGGTAATTCAATCACTTTGACAGGATTTGATTATGATTACGATGAATATGTACACTTTCAGGCTGCCAAACAACAAGCAGTACAACAATCATCATCCATATCTTAGTTTAGCACTTTGGTTGCTAGTATGACTAAATCCACAACCAACGATCCTTGGGTTCTTGACTGTGGTGCTTCTAATCACATTTTCTGGTAATGGAACACTTTTCTCGACTCCCACCCCTTCTCTAGACTCATCTACATTTATCATAGCGAATTGTTCACAAACTGAGGTTAAAGGCATTGGAAAAGTTAACCTACTCCTTAATGAGTTTTTCACCAGTCTTTTTCACTCCTGAATGCCCTCATAATCTACTTTTTATTAGTGAATTGACAAAACAACTTAATTGTATTGTGTCCTTTCTAGCGGACTATATCTCTATGCAAGAACTAGGGTTGTGCAAATCCGGTTTCGGTATGGTTCTTAAGAAGAACCAGAACCGAACCAAAAATTTGATTCTTTCATTTTTAGGATCGGAATCGGAACTGGAACCGAAGGACTAAAGAACTGGAACCGAACCTAACCAAATTTCGGTATGGTTTCTGTATGATTCTTCAGTTTTTCGGTTTCAGTTCTTTGGTTCTCGTTTCGGTTCCAGTTCCTCCATTAAAAATTATTATATTTTTAAAACACATTACAA